TAAACTGAGCTAAACTTTGACGAAGGGAACATATACGTCAACTTTGTGAGCGCCAAGGGCTTGCTCAAGGACATCAACGCGGCGGAACAAGTGGTGCGTACCCTATTATTGGGCTGGGTTTGGCGTGTGGCTAGCCCGTTCTCCATGAGTAGTGGAAGCTGGCATGCTGCTACAATCGGTGGAGAATTGGCTGGCGCTGCGTCAAAAGCGAGCCCCATGACGCATCTCAGCACCCGCGCCTATAAGACTGTGGGCATCACTTGTTCCGCTGTGCTCATATCCTTGAGCGAGCTCCCGGCGCCGGTGGAGTTGAGGGTAGGTGCCTCTTTTGTAGAGGTGTAGGTCTGTTTGACGTACCCTTGGAATTGTAACTGACTCAAAAAAGGAATGAGCAAGAAAGTCCAAGTTAAGCAGGAGCAGTGAAGATGCGTCTTCAAGGCTTTCAGATTAACATAGAGAGGAGGGAGGAGAGAGTCAAAACGTCAGGCTCAGCAATACTTTTTACCGTAACTTTTACCCAGTATAACTCTTACAATTTGGTGATATTAATAACTGTACCTATTATTTATTTGTTTATTACCCTTGCAGGTCATATGTGCAGACTGTTCTGATCTGGACACATTCTACTGCTCAATGTGTGGTGTTTGGACTACGCCTAGTGATATGTTCAAACATCTCGAAACTACTGAACACAAACTAGCATACTTGGTTAGTGACATGCAGACCGAATGAGGGTCTTTTTTGTTGACCTCACGCTATTTGTCGTTTTTTCAAGGTTTTCGGTGTAATAATGATGTTTTAGTTCCGCAATTATAAAATGTATCATCAAACAGTTGTTTCGGAGACGAACTCTGTTGTAAGATCCGCTATGCTTTCGCAGTTTGCCATTCAGATTTGGAAGGTGAGATTAGTTGAGTTGGAGTATTCTGCTGTCCCGGAGTCTCATTCCTCATCTGAATGTGTAGAAACAACCCGAAACTCAAAAAAATTTTTCAGAACCCTCAAAAGACACCAAAAGTGTAGAAAGTTTTTTAGAATATCTTATCTTGCGATATTTCGGTGCGTAACACCTTCAGGCCCAGTTGTCCCGGAATAAAATTACTAAATAAAAAAAGTTCTAGCTTTTTTCTAACTTCTAACAAAAAACTTTTGGTGTCTTTTGAGAGTTTCGAAAAAAAATTTTTTTTTCAGTTTCACGTTGTTTCTACACATTCAAATTAGTTGAGTTGATTGTCCATTTTCTTGATGACATCTCACCTGTTCAGATGGAAAAGCCACCAGGAGTGGTCTCGAACCGCTTACGTTCTTTGCTGGATCGTGCAACAATTGAGCGAATATGGCCTGAACATAAGGATGTTCTTGATCATACTTGGAAGGATGACAGTATGTTGTGAACTTTTTTCAAATTCACTCGCAGTTTATAGTCTGTGTTTATAGTTGATAACGTTGCAAAAGGGTGGTGTCAGGAAAAGAGCACATTCCCGGAAGTCTTGCTCTGCCATTAGTTAGCGGTTAATATCCGCCATTAGTTAGCGGTTAATATTGTTCAATGTGTGGAGTCTGGACTACACCTAGCGATATGTTGAAACATCTCCGATTAACAACCGGTGGAATCATTCCATCCCTCTTGTTGCCCCGAAATGATTGCGACGTTATCAAAAATAATTAGTAGGGCAAAATCGGCATTTTCAACAAATGTCATAAATTCAGGAAGGCTGCGTTTATACTTAGCGTCAGCTCTTCGAGCGTATGACAGCACTTTCGCAGGCCGTTTGAGTACTGCTTGCGGAAACGCTAGCGTACGCTAGATTGACACCTACACTTTCCGAGTCGCTCGAAACGCTGTGCACGCTGGCATACGCTGACGCAAAGTATGAACGCAGCTGAGGGGGTTGGGGGAGCGAATTGGTGTCCTCTGATCAACTGTCAGAAATAGTGGTCATAGGAGAGTGCTGCAGCGCTATATCAAGGGGTTGGAGTTATACAGCGCGCGTGAAACCAACAAGCAAACTTGGAGAGGTTTTCTGTCAAGGCTAGATATCACCCCTCTCCCTCTGGAACGAGTACGACCTGTATTCTTCTGGCGGTGCTGTACCCTACTAGCGCTTAGAATCCTATGCTAGGAATCCTACAGGGTTTCGTGCGTGTGTAGATCCTTGACGTCATATTCACAGCAAAAATTTGTGCGTGTTTCACTGACCCTTGTAATCATTGTAGGAACCCTCAAATTTCGTTCCCGTTCGTTCTTCGTAGTCGCCCTCCTTAGTTATTGATAGAGAACGAGCTGGCGCTGCGCCGAAACCAGTTCCTCACCGCCTCAGTGTCTGCATCGAAAAGGACTTTGAAGACACCTTCCGCACTACCCGAGGCCATGGCTCCGTCCGTCGGCCGCGGCAGCGCCTAACTCTTATTTCTAAAACTATCCTGCCGGTGCGGTTGGCCCGCTAGTTGCTCTCCCCCTTTGCGGTGAAAGTGAGGTGATAAGGAAAAAGAGCCGGCGCAAAAAAGTGAGAATTCGCGCCCCTTTCTCGTATCATGCGTGAACATGCGCGGCTCAGCATGGGTTGTATATGAGGCATTCCCTGTGTGGAAGTTGAACAATTAAGATAGGATATTGACTATTGTAGTCGAAGTAAATCTGCTTGTGATGATTTCTGATGTTTAGGTAGGACAGTTGGACGCATGGATGTTCCTCCACCTGTATCGAAATCAGCGATGATGTTTCCTCCTGATGATTCGAAGAATAAAGTAATTAAGAAGGAGCCGAAAGACGACTACACAAGTAATGGCGATAGGCGCAGTAGCCACTCAAAGGACAAGGACAAGAGGAGCTCAGAAAGAAGTGGCACCCGCTCTTCTTCAACTAAGGACAAAGAAAAGAGCAGAAGCGACAAAGAAAGTAGCCGATCCTCCAAATCCAACGACAAGGACAGATCTGATAGAAGTGACCATCGCTCATCATCAAGTAGAGACAGGCCGAGAGAAACAGACAGAAGAAAGGAAGACAGGGAGAAAGAAACAGACAGAAGAAAGGAAGACAGGGAGAAAGAAACAGACAGAAGGAGGGAGGA